GAGGAGTTTACGACTAGAATTGCTCCACACTCTTGTTTTCCACGTGCTGGGGTTTTATGGGAGATGAGCTGCTTGTTTTAGGGCCTCCCTAGATATCACCTGTATATCCTGATGCATCCTGCTGCTGGTCAGCAAAGGAGGTTTGCTTCTAAAATAGATGCATTCTTTTCAAGAGCACAGATGGGTTTCCCTTTTGACGGTCTAGTCAAAGACGGTATGTAAGAGGTACAACTCTGTTCACTTCCATGCCACTGCTTTAACCTGTGTTATGAAACAGACTTAGCTTTTTGTTTCTTGGCTTGGCCCTGCCATGGTGCTGCTGTTTAATTCTTCATGGCATCTTGGTGTTTGTTGACTAAACTTGACACAAGGCAAGACCTGTTGGTATAGAATTTAGGAGGCCTCTAGTATTTAGTGGAGAATGGATCTTAATTCGTGGACCTGGAAACTAGTCTGCTATTTACAGTGTAGGTGCAGCAAAGCCAAGCTTGCTTGCATTGCTGGACTGTACTGGATCAGAGGGCTTCTGCTGAGGAGTTGGGCCAGCTGTATGTCTCCCTGTTGCTAAACTGACATTCAGAACCTGCAGATTTGAGAGCCAGTAATTCTTAATTTTTTCATTTCTAGTCTAGGACTGGTTGGAGTCTGATTCAGATCAGGTTTGACTTCTAACGAAAATTTTTTCTGAACTGTGAGGACTCTGTTTAATGTGCACTGTGGAAAAACTGTATATTTACTAAATCACTTGATTTCCACCATACAGTTTCAGCCCAGTGACAGATCTACTAGAGGCTGGATTAAGCAGGGCCTTCTTTGTTGTACATGAACAGTCACGGCAGGACAAGCTGCCTGCCAACCCAGCTCCTGTCAGTATTGTGGGCTGACAGCTGGAAGTCTATGAGAGTAATTTTTCAAGGAACAGCATTGATAGCCTGGGGAGGAAGGGAGTGTGTTGAATGTTCCTGGGGGTAGCATTGAACAAGCCGCTTAAGTCAGGAGGCAGCTGTGGCCAGTTAATGGCTTTTGAGCATACATGTGTAATGGACTGTTTTCTTCCTGCTGTCTCTTAGGATGAGTGTCGCAAAGAGATGATTTATGTCTATCACTCCCTAAAGAACAGCAGAGAAATGCACATGATGGGGAATGAGGAGGAAGATGCTAGTGAAGATGGAGCAGAGGTTTGTTTCCTTTCTCTCTAGTACAAGCATCTCAGCTCTGCTGGCTTTTCAAGTCTTATTCAATTAGGAGACTTTGCTCTAAGTAGTGTCCCTCCCCTGTGCTATTGCTGTGTCCATGCTGCAAATGCTTCATGCCAAGCTCTGGATATATAAGAAAGCTGTCTGTGCCACTGCATCAGAGGAAATTCAATCTTTCAATCTTGCTTCTATCTCTTGGAGGACTTATTGGAGGATGGGAGGACTTTGTTTGCTTTCATAAGTTCCTCATCTATATATCTTGTTGCTGGGTGGGGGAGTGAGAAGTGAGGCAATCTGCCTCCACTTGCAAACACAGTCCCAGAACAGGAGGATGTCTCTGCTGATGATTTCACTATTTCATTCAATCCCCAAAACCTTTCAAAGCTGTGGCGCCCAATTTCTGGCCTTGTGGGTTGGATGAATCGTACAGTCCACCTTGTGGACTGTATCTTTTGTGGGGTCAGTTTGTGGATGTGGTCTAGCATGCCAATTCTGTCTGTGCATCCAAGTGAGTGTAGTGCTCTGGCCAGACCACGTGCGTCTGCGATCTAGAACACAGGGCCACATCATCCAGCCTGCAGGGCTCCTTATGGGTCTAGAAATTTGGCAGCAGGGGAGTGGCAATTAATGCTGCCACTGCTCCCCTGTTGCCAAATTTCTGAACCTGTGGGGAGCCCCATGGTCCAGAGGTTAAGCACCCCTGTTGTAAAGTGCCTACCATTAGGGTTTGTAGTCAGCCACTCCCAGAGTGAAATGGGAGTGTGTCACAAGCCTGTTTGCAGATTCAAGCCCAGCCATAGTTGTTCCTGTACAAGAGTCTCCTTTGGGCAACTCCTTTGGATTAGATGGTTTTCTTTTTTTAAGACTGTTCATATTCTGTAAGAGTCAGTAAAAGAAGACAAAGTGATGTTCTGGTTCGGTCGCACCTCAGCATGGGGAATTCCATGTCAGTTCTGTGTGGGATGGAATTGTTGTGTGCCAGCAATGTGGTTTTTAGCAGGCTCCTGTCAAGCACTTGTGGCAAAGATGAAAGTAGCCTTTCCTTCCTCATTTATTTAAGATGGGGTGTGCAGCTAGCTTTCCCTTCTTCTAGGAACATGAAATTCTTCTGTATGCAGTAGCAGTGTCTCTAGGATGCATTAGAACATCTAGCATAAATCTGAACTCTCCCTAAAGCTTTGACCTGAAGCTGAGCGCACAGGCTTCTGCAAAAGCAGCTGCTCCCTATAACAGTGTAGTGCGTTTGGCACTTCTTTGCTGTATGCTTTTGTATGCCAATAATATAACTGAAGCTTTGTGTCAGCTGGAGGAGCTACTTTGTTTGCTGTTAATTTAATAAAAGCAGAGGAGGATGGTGTGCTTGGTGCCTCACTGCCTTTCCATTGTTCCTCGTGGTGCTCATACTCTCTTGGCTTAGCTTGGCTTCAAGCAAGGTGATCCACTGTGTAGTTTCACAGCAAGCCCCTCTCTACTGCAGGGGGGGTCTTAGAGCAGAGCAGGGTAACAAGTAAATACCTTCTGTATTCTAGTCAAGCTGAGATGCTGCACTGATTTCTCAACCATCTCCACTGCAGGGGAAGTGATGGGGTGGAACTGCTGGATGACATAAAGTCCGTGAAGGGTGTTGGCTGTGGACAGTTCCTAGAGGAAAAGTCAGTTCCTAATAAGGAGGGGAAAAGAGATGTCAAGTTATCTCTGAGCATAGATACAGCCCTGGGCAATGGAATAAGCTTTAGGGACATGACATCAGGGCAGGACACAGGTTGTGGCCTTCACAGAGTTGTTTTAAGGAAGGCAGCAGAATAAACCAGGAAACATGGATGACCTGAATAATCTCACTGCCACTATGCTGCAGCTTGCCCCAGTGAAATAGCACCAGGGCAAGTGGGGGTGGTACAGTTAAGCAGTGAGCTGTGTATTAAACTCACCATATCATGGGAGAAATGGTGTAACTTGTACTTGAGCAGTTCTTTTAATTTTTTTAGACCCATGGATTACGTTTTCCTTTATCTCACGTGGATGCATTGAAGCAAATTTGGACAAGTGCTACTGTCTGTGTGAAGGAACTGCGTATCAGTTCCGATGCAGAGAAAGAAAACCTTGTTTTATCCCTCTGGACTGAATGTCTCATTGAAGTAATCTGAATCTTTTGTGAATCAGTCTCTCTCCTGGAACATCACGTCTCTTCCCTTGAGCACATACTTACAAAGAATTATCTGATTCCTTCTGCTTGTATTGACCTCTAAAAAACACTGGTTAAAAAAAAAAAGTGTGTTGTTCTATCTAGGCTCTTCCCTCAGTGTCTTTATGCTGTGGTGTGTGGATTGTTTCTCCCCTTTTTTGTGATGCCAGTCACTCTCTTCCTAAAGAGACTCTCTCTCAAGAAAAGCTAAGCTTGAAAGGGGTATGACAGTTTGAAATCATAAATATGAGAATAATGTAGTTGGACACAGGGTAGTAGCAGAAAGACTCAAATTTTTGAAAGCATGTAGAATGCTGGCCTTCTGCTCTTCCCATTCTGCTCTCTGAGCCTGGTGAGCAAGAAATTGTGTTCCCTAAGGATATACCACACAATTCAGAAGCTGAAGCAATGATCTTTTATAGACATGTCTGTTTCATTTCAGCAGGTTTTGCTTAATAATCAGGTTGGAGTTACTCCAGGTTGGGATTTATGTTCAAAATGCAGTTACCAATTCATAGTAAACATTTCATGATACAAGAAGAACAAGTCTAGTGCAAAGCCAAGTCACAAATACAACCCATTGAGAGTCTGCTGCTGTTCTAAGGCTAGGACAGTGCTTCCCTGCTACCAAAATGTGTGCGTGTGGGGGGGGCCATTATCTTGTACCTCATGTTGCCTACTGGCTCTGATTTTTCCCCAGCTGTTTTCACTCTGCTGTACTTAAAGTATAGCTATTGCATATGGGCTTATGTCTTCCTTCTAATTGCTCAGCATGCAACATTCTTGGTAAAGTCAGCAAGACACCACCATATGATGGGTCTTTTCTATTTGTGTATCTGACTACATGGAGGTAAAAGTTAACAAAATTGAAATAGCTGTTGCAAAAATAGTTAATGTGGAAGCTTACCCCACATATCATTTATCACTCAATGTAATTTCTTGAGGGTTTTTTTTTCTTTGTGAACCAAGTTGTTACATAAAGGGAGGGGAGTAAACACAATCCTAGCAACGAGGTTGGAGTGAGTGGGACCCAGAGGATAGTGGTAAGTTTTCATTTATGGTTATTCTTTTGTTATTGTATTTGTTATTGTTTTGTAGTAAAATTTGTCTTGTAAGTTTTATCTCGTTACAGGAGATAATTTTATCTTGATAAATTTGTCTTGTTATTCACTGAGACAAATTTCACGCCCAAGTACCTTGCATGAGGTGCTACTGGTATGCATGTGTGCACCCCCCCCCCCCCCCCACACACTGAACTCAGAGAGGATATGCATTTATCCTTTCAGAAAATGGATTTTCTAGTTAAAAATAGCCAAAGTTTTGTTTATATGTGAATGTGCTAATTGACAAGTAAGTATTTCACATTTGAGCCCTTCAGTAATCTTTAGTCAGCATTCATCTTTCCTGTATCTTACAGATGTCCTGTTTCTGAAGACATCCACACAAATGGGGTATAACTAATGGTATGGTAGGGCCAGATAACCAACACTAGTTCCCTCAACCTACAGTCCCCTCCCATTAGGTTATTGATTCAGCACTTTTTGACCAACACCTGAAGTAGCTACATACATGAGGAGAGGTTGTACACAGTACTATCGTTTCCAAGTGATGGACTAACAAAACACGATGTGGTTATGTTTTATTTTAAGACTGCAATCTACTGGCATAGAAAAAACATAATAGGCAGATCACATTTGTGAGTTGGGTAACTGGCAGTCTCTGCTCTTTGGAAGTCATTCTTCAAAGATTTTTATGCTTGAGTGTTTTAAGAACAAAATTATTGCATTTAGACAGTCAGTACAAAACTACAGAGCAAAAGGATCTTCTCAAAGTTTTTTTACAATAAAATATATATTTAGCAATTTACATTCAAGATCTTTAAGTAAAACATCCTGCTTTTCTTTCTTTTGTAACACTGGCACACTGAATACAATTATGCATTGTTTAGTGTGGACTAGGGATTGGGCATGTAGGCTTTTTAAGCTACTTCCAGAAAGCAAAAATCATTTAGGACTTATTTGGTATATTGCTAGACTGACATAGAAATATCTAAACTTATACACATACTTTAGTTGAAAAAATATATACATTGAAAGACTTACTCAGAAAATCAGAACGATGCAAGAGAGTGGCTGCATGATTAACTTGTCAATGTAAAACAGTAAGTGCAATAAGGTGAGTTAAAATATTGCTTTGTAGAATTCCATCTCATTTCATACAAAAATAGGCTTCCATGTTTCACTCATTTCTAGCCAAAATTGAAACTTAAGGTACCCAGGGAGGAGTCATGTTTGAATGTAAGACTCGAATAAGGATAGTTGTAGGAAATTAATCTTTTTTTGGCTTTTGTGTTTTAGCTCCTCTATACTCTTATAAAATGCAGGAGCTAGAACAGTCATTGGACAGGAAGACCACATCATACTTTGAACTGCATGTAAAAGCCAATTCAAGTAGTGACATACAAACTAGAATTGAGGTGTGTGTGGGGGGCAGTTTTCTCCATTCCAGATGGTCACAGAACTCTGAATATTATCCTAGGCTAACACTGCCAATTTAGTTTTGAACACCTTCCACCCACAACAGTGGAATGTATTTGTATTTCATTTAAGATGGAACAAAGTTCCTAATCATGCTTCTTTCAGCATAAGGAGAGTTGCATAGTGTTGTGATTCTAGCAGTCACCAACACATTAAGATCTTTTCCCAAAGAATGAACAATTGCCTGAAGCAGAGGGGAAAGAACTGCAATGTGCTAATGACCCACAAGGTAGTTAACATGCATTATATTATACCCTCTCTCATTTTGCCAAAGGAAAGTTGGAGGAGCAGCATATTAGCACAGTTGCACATTAGTTAGATAATATACACACACATATATCCACTATTGACTTTGCTCTGGTTTCAAGCCCAACAAATAATTTAAAATTATATACAGTAGAATATCAGTGATTTAATCTAACAGGTCTGCTCAACAGTAGGGGTACCTGGCCTGCAGCGCTGTCATTCAGCCTGCAGTGCTTCCCACAGGTCTAGAAATTTGACAAGGGAGTGATGGCACCCTCCCTTTGCTACTCAGTTTCCAGACCCATGGGGAGCCCTAGGCCCCACATGCTGCATGAGGTACCCAAACCCAGGATGCAGGGCTGGGCAGGGACTAAGGAAAGGGGAGGCAGTGCCAGACTCCAGTCTTGGTATGGGGGGGTAGGATGGGGCCACTGCCAGCACCCTGGGGTCCAATTCTGGTTCCTGGACTAGGTGGTACTGGGCCCAGGGCCTGATTCACCTCACAGCCTGGCCCTGTGGGGACAAGAGATTGAGCACCACTGGTCTAAAGTATCTGCATTATGTGACATTGTTCTAACTAAATAATAATGCCTCCTTTCTATGCCATCTGTGTGAGTTAGATGGATAGAAATAGGCCCCTGCCTTCAGAACTATGTTTAACCATAAACTGTCCTAGATTCAGGGGTCCTAATTGCAGCTTTAAGCAGGTGAGGATCTGGCCTTTCCTCATTAAACCCGGTCAGCAGAGCCCCACCATAGGACTGGCCTGGAATTTCAGGCATAGGCTTCCCCAGTACACTTATTTAAATGGCACATAAGCAAGGGCTGAATTTTGAGATGTAAAATAAGAGCTGAGTCTGAATCACCAGAGCTGAAAAACTAGTACATTAATCAGTGAGCTTCTCCAGTTTCTGGAGAGAAAGGAATGACAATGACCCAAAGGGATAGTACAGTTGAACTACAACATTTCTAGCTTATCTTTGCATTCACTGAATTGGTAAGGATAAACTGAACAGGTGTAGTAATGAAATACACAGGATTAAATGGTACTTCAAGAGGAAGAAGGCCTCAGCGGGAAGTCTGTGGGAATAAGGAAAAACATAAATTATGAGCTCCTCTACAGTTGTGCAAAAATTCAGTTCCTTCTGGAGTCAGTGCCTTGTGGAGGAAGAACAGAGTAGATGTCTTGATTAGCATTCCAGTGGCATGCGACTTCAGTAGCTCCTTCTGAAAGCATTCATACACTGTGTAGGTTCATGTCTCCAGGATTTTCAGAGCGGGCAGCAGTTTTCTCACAAAATTTCAATGTTCCATTTTTGTGAACGTTCACCCTCCAGGGGATGATTTACGATGATATAGCTCCTGTCATAATAACTTCCTCCTGAAAAAAGGTGTTAACTGTTATGCAGATTCAGTAATAAAACAAATATACTTAGCTGCAATTTTAAATATGTGCACTTGTATGAGCAGAGTCAGAAAATCAGCTAAGTTAAAAATCCTAGCAGAACAACTCAGTTCCCATAAAAAGAAGGCACTCCTTTCAAAGTTAAGCACACTATTTAGTTGTTATATGAATCATGAGTTATAAAAATAGGACAGAAGTCTTTCCTACTTATATAAAAAGCTTTGAAGGGGCTTTAGCTATGGAAAGAGGTTTATGGTTGTTCAGAGGGTATCTACAGGAGACTAAATTTCTCTCCCAAGGCTAGCTCACCTGGACAGATTGCTTTGGCCATGTCCACACTATAGGACCAATGTGTTCTAGCTGGGGTGTTCTTGAGCATGCCCTGCCCACATGCTTCAAGCCTGGAACCACCTGACCAGGCTGCTCTATGGTGCTCACCTATAGATGCACGAGACCTGGATCTCTAGTAGGCTTGATGGTGGCCATGCTTAGCTCTCTAAGTTGGGTATGTCCTTAATGTTTTTATGTATTGGTGTAATTAATCCCTACCACACAAGGTGCTGGGTGCATCTACACATGATGTTTATTGTGGCGTGGACTAATTAGCTGCACAGTAAACATCTCGGTGTCTATATGTGCATCCTTATTAGGCTGGAGTAAACTAATTTACTTCTCAGCAGGATAGCTCTTGTAAATACAAGCACTATTCTGCTGCAGAGTAAGAAACTCTGCAGCAGTACATGTGTAGATGCTGCCCTGGTTGGCTGGGCATGAGGGTAGTTCAGTATTGGGCTTGCCTGCTGGCTAGCTCCACACTGAAGCACGCTTGTGCCTCAGCCAGCTCTTCCACAGCACACTGAGCTGTGGGGAGCAGCCTTGGGCTAGCTGATCTCCCAGGTCCCCAGCCAGCCAGGGCTGTTCTACCCCAGCTCAGTATGCTGTAGTCCCAGGCGCGTGTTCAAACAGCAGTAAACTTTGGAGTTTATTGCTTTGCATGAATTGCAGATGTAGACATGCCCACTGAGTCCTAATTAAGTATGGATACTTTTCACGGTCTCCTTTGTTTTCCTTTTGTGGTGGCATCATTCATCTACATTTCCACATCAGATTCTTTACTTGCTGATCCAGTCTCTCATGTCTTCCTATCTAAACTCCTTGTTCATCCTCATCCCTTTAAGCCTCTGTCCCAACCAGAACTTCAGTTCATCCCCCCACTGCTTTTCCCACTAGCATTCTATGTCCCTAAGCAGATTAAGTTGCTTGCTACTTCTAGGTTCTGTCTTGAACTTCTCCCTTTCCTGATCCCTCCACTCTGAATTCTGCCCTGTCTGTGCCATGGCAACTACTTAGAGGGGACCAATAGCCTCCTGCACCTTTCTGTTGTATAGGTACTAATGCTACTGCCAGAAAGACAGCAGACTGCCTGATTCATATTTAGAATGAACTCTATTGCTCTTGTACATGTTTCTGAGAGCAGGGAAGACACTCCTAAAGCCCTTTTTCCCCAGGGTGCATTAAAGAATTGTCTGCTATAGACATCTCTGGTTCTCAGCCAACCCTTACGCTCCTGTGCACTTCTTGCCATGGGCTGATCCAGAATTCCAGCTACAAATACTAGTGCATTTTAAAGGCCTATCTTGCCACAATAGGAAAATACCCAAGGGGTTATTCTCTGAAGGACTTCACCTAAAAGTTTGACTTCCTATATACAGTAATAAGGTTCGTCTCTCTCTCTACTATAAGCAGTATAAGTACTATAGTGCATTTTGCACTGAATACCATTTACCCCAAGTCCCTCCATTAAACAGTAAAACATTCCAAAGGAACTGCTATTTATAGCTGCTTTTTTAATCTCTCTCTTCAGGTTCCTCATCAAGAGTATTCTTATGCACTCCCTTGGTCATTTCAGTATTAGGTTTTGCACTGGATAAAGCAGCACAGATTTAAATGATTTCTACACATATTACAAAAATTCACTCTGTTCCACAGCGTTTTTAAAGCATCTCATTTCCTATTTTAAAAGTTAGCATCTCTATTACTTGTAGATATTTTAGTTTGTATTTAATATGTTAGGAACCAGCTATTTATAAAACTACTGGATACTTAACCTTTTGTACAGAGAGCAAGAACTACCCTATTAATGGTGGGCTTTGACTCAGAGATCCTGATTTATTTGACTGTCACGGTTTAATGTTTTTATTTTTAAACATGAACCATATTTTAAAAACAGTTCATCTTGGATGGATTCCCCCTCATCTAACAGTATGCAGATCACTTTCTATCACCCACAGTTGTCTATAATACCATATGGTAGGTCCAGCTATTACTTTAGTAATGCCTTTCTGTGCCTGCCATATAGTTTCAGCTTTTTCAGTGCATCTTGGCAACTAAGGATGAAGAGAAGCCTGCACCTGAGTACAGACTAACTGTACCACTGTTTTCATCAAGTGCTACAACAGTAGACATCTAGCTTAAGAAACTGCAGTTCCTGTCTTTTAACTGTGCTAGAAGGTGAATTGACTCTAGATAGGGCAATGCAGTAGATGGGTTGTATTTTATATTCTTTGGCTGTTTTTCAATTTGCCACAAGGGGGCGGCAGTAAAGGGAAGGCTAGTGTACATCTGGAGATTTGATGCGTGTCTACGACTTGCATTAGCATCTTATACAACTGCTACTCCATAGCGCTGCATTCATTCCTTCATCTCAGTTCTGTTGAAGCAAAACTGATGAGGAGCAACATGGAAATACACTTGTGTCTTCATGCATGAGGCCCGTATTAAACCTAAATTAATCTCTGGTCATTTTCAAAGTATTCCCCTTAGTAAATGTTCTTGGGCAACATGAGCTGGTGACAGCTGCCCATGTTTAGTGGGTTATGGCTGCTTTCCAGTTGCATTAACTGAGATCAACAAAAAATGAAACCTTTGTATCTGCTGATTTAGGAACGCTTCCACAGCTGAAGGGAGCTAATTGTGTTTAACATCATCAACTGCTTGAGAATACCAAACACTGGAATAATCATGTCCAATATTCAGTCCCAGCCATAACTGGATATACTGGCAAACATGCACTGAGTGTGTAGATGAGCCTTTTGGTACCTTTGATATCAAGGACTAGCTGGTCACTGAGATATGAACTAATGGTTCCATCCTTATTGAGTCTCCATTTCTGCCTGTCTTTTCTGTGTTCCGCCCATAGCGCTACTTTAGCTCCAGGTACATCTCGGCCCCCGATGACATCAAGGCAGGCATCAATCGCCTAAGAGATGGAGAAAAAGCTTAGCAATAGAATCTGATTGTCATTGCTGGCTTTTATATGCTCTTTTCTGCTTCACTCTGACACCTGAAAATGAGACTGCTGTCATGAGTTACATAGTCTGCCAGTAAACTAGAAGCTGTTTATTCATTGTGGCTATGAGTAGCAGCCCGTTTACTGAGACAATGACCATGACATTGCTCCTGTTACTCAGTTAAACAAGTATATTTCTATTAGAATGATACAGACCTTTCAGATTGCCTTTGTGCACCATAAAGCAATTCTTTAGCCCTTTTCAGGTTGCTTTTTAAAATCAGAAGGCCATATTTATGTGGGGGACTGTGCAAAAAGGCCTGCTAACCACAACATAGCATCTGTTTGGAAGGAGGCACAGGTGTTGCTTTCAGAACTGCACTGGAAAGGAGGGGTCACGATCATCTGGTCTCAGCTCACACAGGGAACACTGCATCCCTTGAAAGGGAATAGCAAAAGCACTCCCCCTGTACACTCTGAGGAGTTCTAGGAGCACAGCCCATGGACATAGCGGTCTGCATGGGCCCCAGCTCAGCACAACTGAGCCCCAAGATTGTAGTCTCTCACTTTTCCAGGAGCTATCGCTTACTCTTGTAGTCAGGCTGAAAAGCTGAAGAAACTGGTTTAGAAATATGCACAGATTTCAGAGCATTTTCAAATACATGTTATACCTATTGTAACCCTAGTGCTTACACTATCCTTCACAAACCTCTAACTGGCCTGGCTCCTACTGGCTGTGTCTACATGTGCCATTAGGGGGCAGCCATAAACTGCGGAGTTTATTGCTCCACTATTTATTGCTCCTGGGAAGTTACCAGGTGACTGTCTGCATGCGGGCCCAGACTGCAGCACATTGAGCCAGACTGGAGCAGCCCCAGCAGGCAGAGGGGCTTAGGGGTTCAGCCTGCCAGCCATGAGCTGCTCTAACCCAACTCTATGTACTGCAGAGGGGCTGGCTGGGGAATGAAGGTACTTCAGTATGGGGCTAGCTAGCAGGCAGCCCTGGCACTGAAGCACCCTCATGTTCCAGCTAGCTGGTCAGTGGCTACACATGTGCATGAAAAAAAACTCTGTAGCAGGGTAGTAGGTATTAATAAGTACTACCTTGCTGCAGAATTTATTAGTTTCATGCACAGTAAACATCTCATGTAGATGTGCCCTCGGAGAGGAAACTGTAGACTAACTGAGACAATGCCAAGGATCAGTCTTTGAAACGCACAAGAGAAATGGTGCTAGAAGAACCTGAGTCTCAGTTTCGTAGTAGGTAGGGGCGGAAGGGACCGAAGAAGATCATCTAGTCCGACCCCCTGCCCTGGGCAGGAAAGAATGCTGGGGTCGAATGACCCCGGCTAGGTGGCTGTCTAGCCTCCTTTTGAAGACCCCCAGGGTAGGGGCGAGCACCACTTCCCTTGGAAGTTGGTTCCAGATCCTAGCTGCCCTGACTGTGAAGTAGTACCTCCTGATGTCTAGCCTGAATCTACTCTCAGTCAACTTATGGCTGTTGTTCCTTGTTACCCCCGGTAGTGCTTGGGGGAACAGGGACTCTCCCATTGCCTGCTGGTCCCCCCCCGGCAAGTTTATAGGCGGCTACCAGATCCCCTCTCAGCCTTCTCTTGTGGAGGCTGAACAGGTTCAGGTCCCATAGCCTTTCCTCGTAGGGCCTGCCCTGCTGCCCCCTAATCATGCGAGTGGTCCTCCTCTGGACCATCTAGATGCTGGCCACATCTCTCCTGAAGTGCGGTGCCCAGAACTGGACCCAGTACTCCAACTGCAGCCTGACCAATGTTGCATAGAGGGGGAGGATCACCTCCTTGGACCTGCTCGTGAGGCATCTGTGGGTGCATGACAAAGTAGTTAGCCTTCCTGACTGCGTCCCCACACTGGTGGCCCATGTTCATCTTGGAATCAACAGTGATTTCAAGATCCTTTTCTGCCTCTGCGCTGATGAGAGGGGAGTTCCCCAGCCTGCAGGTATGCTGCTGGTTCTTCCTCCCCAGGTGCAACACCTTGCACTTGTCCATATTGAAACCCATCCTTTTCTCATCAGCCCACCTCTGTAACCTGTCGAGATCTAGTTGAGGCGTGTCCCTCTCTTCTAGTGTGCTCATTTCTTCCCACATCTTAGTGTCATCTGCAGACTTGAACAAGGTGCTTTTCACCCCCTCATCCAAATCGCTGATGAAGATATTGAACAATGCGGAACCAAGGACTGAGCCCTGGGGAACCCCACTGCCCACATCTCTCCAGGTCGAAAATGACCCGTCCACCACCACTCTCTGTGTGCGGCCCTCCAGCCCA